GGTTTTCTGTGCCCTCTACTCGTGTACCCTTCCCTTTTCCTGATCTTGCTTTGTACCCTTTGGCCACATCACAGTTAGGTTGCATCCTGAGTCCTGCGAGTCGTTCTAGTAAACCCTCAAACCTGGAAATGGTTTTACGGATCTCTTATGCAAGGCTGTCCTTATGTATGCAATCAGCATAGTGACTATTCCCGGTTTAAACTTTTATTGAGAGAGGCACAGAGGATGAGAGAGGCTCCTTTTGATACCTGAGAAACAAGCTCAGAGAAGATCAGCACCACAAGTGAGAGCTTTGTAGCCAAAGTGGGCAGAGCTAGAATTTGAACTCAGATCTGTTTCACCTGTGCGACACCCAACCATTAAACTCATGTCAGAGATGTCTCTCCGGCCTCTCCCCCTGCCTGGGAATTCTTCTCTTCACTCAATGAACCAGCTGAGCAGGTCTAACTGAACAAAGTGCTGAAACAGGAAGCAAGCTGGAAAGAGACCTCCACTCCAGACATAGGGCCACTTCCCCGAGATAACTTCTCCACCACCACCCTCTGTCCCACTCTTCTGTAGCCTGACTACAGTCTTCTCTGTCCTTTGTCTCCCTGCATCTATCATCTCCCTTCATTTCTTTTAGTATTTAACTGTAATTATCTTCAGTCTCATTTATTTACTGACTTCCTCTTATGGGCCAGAGACAAAGATGGCATCCATGGGCTGTGTTACATGTTCCCTAATTCTGTCACTGAAGAGATATTTAGTGTGCTGCTGGGGATTGTTGCCCTGAGATAATGTCCCTCAGGGTTCATTTTCACAAACAGACTGAAAAAGGACCTGAATATGGACGGAAAAACATTAGCTTCAATTCATTGTCGTTGTTGCAAATGCCACTGACTCATAGCAATCCTATGAACAATGGATCTGAACCTTGTCCTGTCCTGTGCCATCCTCATCATCTCTGATAACTTGAGGCCATTGACACAATCACTTTGTCAATCCATCTTATCAAAGCAAAGGTCTTCCTCTCTTTCAAAGACTCTCACCTTTCCAAGTATGATGTCCTTTTTCCAAGGAGGAAAGGAAAACTTATTGACCCGGGGAACTAGCACGGCAAGGATCCAGCTGCAGCCAACCAGCCAGAAGATTCTGTTGAGGCTGAGTCAACTATTTTATACATTCACATAAACAACTCGAATATGGAGTCAAGGTAAAGAGTTAACTGTTTTATATGTTTACACAAAGCCCAATATGTAGTCAAGTTAAAGACTGCATAGGTTGACAGAAAATGCTAATGATACACTATGCTTAATCTAAGGAAAAAACCATCAACTTCTTGATCCATATCTAGTTTTGCTGCAAGGATGGCTAAAAACAATATAAGGGAGAGTCATTCTGGGATTCTTGAAAGAAACTAGGAAAATAAGTCTAATATAAGAACTCAGTTTTAGCATAAGTGTAATCATTTGGGGGTATTTATAGGCTCTGGCATGCACGTGCCTACCACAGAGTCAGGCACTGCCTGGAATGCGAGAGAGGTCAATAAACTTAGGACCTTAATCCTGTCCTGCCGCTGAGGCTTTTCTCCAGCAGTGATGGATTACTCAATAAGTAAGGTAAATATAAACTTACCTGGGCTAATTTACTAATATGTAGTGAACAATTTCACATTTTTCACTTCTCAGATTCTGCTTAGAGGTATGATTGGTACCTGTCTCTCTCCCAATCCCGCAGCACCTTCCTAAAGAATCAAAGCTTCTTTTCAAGTTTACAATCAAAGATGTGGTGAAACCCAAGTGAAACGGTTCACAACAGATTAGTAAATAAACCCATGCTTATCTGGTAATTTGTCCTTGAATTTCTAGTCATGTCTCTCCACTCTCTTTTCTTATCTGATTGTCAGCACTCTGCTTCATTATCTCTGCCATCTTCTTCCCAGTCATCAGTCCATATCACAATCTGTTTACAAATGTCTATGAAATAGCAATGGAAATCTAGTTTTACTGATACGACCTACAGTCTTGCTAATTTAATAGATAACGATTGCTCAAGCCCAAATACCAAGCAGAATGACATTGTGGATTATGGGTTAAAGATGTAAGATCAACAAAAGACCTTGCAGATTTTAACTATTTCCTGAATTTTCTCTGCTTACCATGTTTCACCAAATCTAGAGATGCCATTGATGATGAAGTAATATCATTTTTCACCCTTAGGAAGACATATATCAATAAGGAGTCTCCTGTTTCTACTTCCTCCAAGACAGACTGACTTGTTCTTTCGGCTGTCTGTGGAATACTCAGTGTTGTTCTCCAATGCAATTCAAAGGTATAGATTTTTCTTCTGTCATCTTTTTTTAAATTAAACAATAATAATTTATTAAGAGCCTCCCCCTCCTCTCGACGTGTTTAGGGTCACTTTTTCTGGTTATAGATCTTGCACGCTAGTCCCAGGAAGATGGCTGGGGTTAGGGGAGCAGCATACTACTCGAGAAGCCCCACAAGGTGGCTGAAACCCTCTTCTTCATACTGCTTGAACACAGCAGGCAGCTCCAATTCCTCATACAGTGCCTTCACCTGGGCAACCTTCTCGGTCTCTTTCTCCCCATAATTGTCCTGCAGGATCTGGTGTTATTCTGGAGAGACCCACTTAAGACACTGAATCACCAGCCAGCTGCATTTGTTGTCCTGGATGTCAGTGCCAATCTTGCCTGTCACACTTGGGTCTCCAACAAGATCAGGGTAATCATTCTGAATCTGAAAGAAGCCACCCATCTCTAGCAAGATCTTCTTGGCGTTGGCATGTTCCTTCTCCCACTTAATGCCCATCATATACATTGCAGCAGCTACAGGAAGGTAAAAGTAGTAGAAAGCTGTCTTGTACTTGACAATGGATTTATACCTCTTTTTTCAGTGAATCTGCTGTGATCCATCTTGTCCTGACGGGCAGTGATGAGGTTCAAGGTCTGTCCAATCTCAGTCTGATAGGAATTCTGCAGGAAGAGCTCCAGCAGGTTAAGACAACAGGGTTTCTCCCAGCTGTAAAGCTTCAGCAGGCAATAGATACGATTCCAGCAGCCTGGCATCACTGATAGCATCCAGATCTATGCCTGGTTTCTGATAGCAGCAGGGCTGCCCACGTCAGGTAAAGGATAAATCCATAATGTTCTCTACTACAAGGAAGAAAGCTTGGAGCGGTTCCACACACCAGCCCACTGTCAGGGCCCGCTGGACTCTCAGCACCCTGCTTCCTGGGCTCCACCAGCTCCTGGAACACTGCCAGCACTGTTAGACCTCAGTTGTATTTGCCTCCAATGGCATGTACTCTAGGACCTTCTTGAGCTGACTAACAGTATCTCTAATTTCTGGGTACCCCAGATCATCCTCAGGCAGCACCTTGACAATCTGGGAGAAGTGCTGGGTGAAATCCTCCTTCTCTTGGGTATAAGCCTCTGATTTCTGTTCATTGTGAGGAAGGAGCAGAAGCTCTGTTCTTAGATGCTCGTTCCTGCTTCTCTTCTGTCATTCTTATCCATTGTACAACTTTCAGATGCATAGCAAGTAATGGAAAATATCATTGCTTGAATCAGGTTCACTTTAGTCCTTAAACCGACATCACTCCTCTCTAGCACTTTGGAGATGTCCTCAACAGTAGACGTCTTAATGTCTTTTGATCTCTTGATTGTCGTTACCATGGGTGATGACTGTGTATCCAAGTAAAATGAAATTGTTGACAACTTCAGTTTTGTATCTATCTATGGATATGTTGCTTATTGGTCCAGTGGTGAAGGTTCTTGTTTTCCTAATGTTGGGATGCCATCCATAATGAGGGCTGTAGTCTTTGATCTTCTTCAGTAGTTTCAGGCCCTTTTCACGTTCAGTAAGCAAGACATAATAAAGGTTGTTTATGAGTCTTCCTCCAATTCTGATGCCACCATGCTCTTCATATAGTTCAGTTTCTCCAATGATTTTCTCACTATACATATTAATAGTAGGAATCAAATCCACAACATCTAACAATTCACTGGAATGCACTGCTGGCAAACACTATTCTCAATGCCATATTGAGCCATAAAGGAAAAAAAATTGACTCACGGATGAAAGCATGGAGACCCTGTATCCTTGGGAAGCCTCAATTTTCAGCAACTAGGTAGCTTGTTCTGCACCAGACTGGAAATCTGAGGTTGAATGAAGAAAAAAAAAACAGGGAGGCAGAAGGTTGTAGTGCAATGAAAAGGAAGTCTGGTTTAGAAAAACTGAGGCAGGGGAACTCTGGTGGCCTAGTGGTAAGAAGCTGTACTGCAATCCCAGAGGTACATGGTTCGAATCAACCAGAGGCTCTGCTGGAGAAGGAGGAGCAATTTTCTCCTGTACCAGTCAGATCCAATTTGATGGTACACACACAGAAGATAATAAAATAAAATTTAAAAAAAAAAGAAAAGAAAAACTGAGGTAGGTTGTAAAGGCTGAAGTAAGTTCCTAAAACTGAAGACCCAAGACCTTGAGGGAAAAAATTGGAGGTAGAGAGGAAGCCCGAGCGTGGCCGGAAGCGTGTCTGAGGAGAGCGGGCCCCTAGGAGGGCGGTGGTCAGTGGGCGGGACTAGTCGGCTGGGCGGGGCCTCCACGGCGGGGTGGGTTCCAGGGGATGGAGCGGGGCTGGTAGAATTGGTTGGATGGGGGCCTATGACAACGAGCGGCCACCAGGAAGGGGCGGAGCCTGCTACGGGACGGGGTGGTGCTTGAGCGAAGAGCCAGGACTGAGGCCGGAAGAGAGGAGAGGGGCGGGACCTGTGGCAGCGCGCGGTCACCAGGAGGGGGCGGAGCCTGTCGGGGGTTGGTGCTGAGGCGCACAGCCACGCCTGCGGCGGGAAGTGGGGAGAGGGGCGGAGCCTGAAGCAGGAAGCCGGAAGAAAGAGCAGGGACTGCTGCAGGGGGCTGCCGCCAGGAGGGGCGGAGTTTCTGGCTGGGTGGGGCGGGGCGGGGCCTGGAGCAGCGCGGAGCGCTCCGCAGCGGAAGATGGCAGTTTCAGAGGCCATGGATACTCAGGTGATGCTCGGAGTCGGCCTGATCGGTGAGGATGCAGACTCCCTGCTCCCCAGGCCCCCATCCAGGCTTTGCCTCCGCGTCCAGACGGGTGGCCCCTGCCCCGGCGGCCCCGGCGCGGACAGTGGTGCGGAGGGTGCGGCCCACCGTGTCTGTCCGGACTGGGGGCTGCCGGGCCTCCTCGGTGCAGGCCGTCCTCGGTGCAGGCCCGGCCCACTGCTCTCAGCCGACCGCACGCGGCCTCACGAGACCCGCAGGGCTGGCAGTAGTTTGAGGAGCCCCGGGTCCTCCTCGGCCCCATGGTGTCCGACGGGACGCGGGTGGCCGAAGGCGGCGGCGCCTACGAAGGGCCGCTAGACAGGCGGGGCCCGGGTTCAGGCGGCCGCAGGGAGAGTGTTCCGGGGCCCCGTGACCCCGCGGGCTGCTGTCACGGAGTGCAGAGGCCGGAGCGACCGCGCGGGTTCGTCCCGGATCATGTGATCGCGCACTCTGCCCACGGAACTTGATCATCTCCCTTTAATCCTCAGCACAGCTCTTGGGGGGTCGAGGTAATGCGAGGGGGAAACCCTCGATGTTGTCTTTGCTCAGACCCTCACTGCAAAGTGACAGGGCCAGGATTGAGACCCCTACAGTTTGTGCCGAGCTTCAGCTCTACTGTCAAACTCCAGAGTCATGTGACAGAGCTCGTGCTTGGAACTGTTGGGATCCTGCTTGTTTTTGAAGAGTTCATAAATGGGAAAGTGCGTTGTGATCTTTGGAAAGTCCACGATTCTGGGCCCCAGGGGTTGGTGCTTTAAGGAACCACTTATTACCATGTAACAAAAATCACCAGTTCGCTTGAATGAACACCTACCTGCCAGTTCCTCTCCCTATGACTGACACACCTGTCGATACCGTTAGCCCCCTAAAGCGCTAGAAACATTCATTGAGGGATGAAGCGAGAATAGAGAATTGCGTTTCTATGAGTGTTTCAGAGGAGAGCATTTTCCTGGGAATAGCTTTCTGTATTTATTTGGAATTTATTTTTAAACAGTTTAAAAGCCAAGCCTGAGGTCTTACTGATTTTTTTAGTATAGATTAGACTAACAGCCTGAGCTATAAAGATGAGACGCCCTTGCTTGTTAAAAGTGAAGACTTGAAACAGTTACTGGTGAAAGCAAAGACTACAGCCTTCAGTGGGTGGATTGCCCACCGCACATCCTCATCGTTGGCCTTCAACATCAGATTTCTATGGTCATAACTCTTTGCAGGAAAGGATTGCCCATTTTTTTCCAGCAAGGAGGGTGTTGGAGTTAAACTTCAAGACGTTAATGAAATCTTTGGGCTAGAAGTCTATTCAACATAGAGAGAAAACAAATCTTTACAACTGGACCCCTAAACAACAACATAATAAACACAGTATTATTGACGTTTTCAAGATTTTTTCTTTCACTCTGCTCCCTCCCAGTCAACGCCAGTGGAAGCAGCAATCAGCAAATCAAGTGGCATTTTTCATTGGGCAAATTTGCTTCAAAAGATCACTTTAAACTTAAAAAGCGAACTATTCATACTGTGGAATTTTCAGATCACTTTAAACTTAAAAAGCAAACTATTCATACTGTGGAATTTTCAGCTGCCTGGTAATGAATTAGGAAGACTGAAGAAGAATTGATGCTTTTAGATTATAGTGTTGACATCGAATTTTTAAAATACCAGGAACAACCGGAAGAAAGAGCAGTTCTGTACTGAAAGAAAGAAGTGTAGCCCGAATGCACCTTGGAAGCAAGGGTGGTGAGACATCATCTCCCTTACTCGGGCAGGTTATCTGGAAGCAGTAGTCCCTGGGAAGACATTGTGAGTGGTAAAGTGGAGGGCCAGTGAAAAGCAGGAAGTCCTGCAGTGAGCTGTGTTGACACAGTGACTACAGTGGGCTTGACCAGGGCAGGAATGGTGAGGGTGGTATTGGATTGGGCACTGTTTATCCTGTGGTGCTTATAGCTGCTTTCAGTCAGAATCCACTTGATAGCACCTAACAACACATCTTGCCTGGAGTTACTTCTGAATTAGACTGAGTAAAACTCTGGCTTTGATTGGGAAGAGAGGGAGGGAAAGAGATGGCTTATGATCATGTTCTCATTAAACAAGTTTTATTTTTTTTATATTGACATGAACTTAAAAGTCTAGATACTACTGCTGTAGAAGGATTTGCTTCACAATATGGGGAAGGGTGCATGGAGACTGATCAGATGAAGCCAGGTGTTGAAATTGATGGTGCCAAGTGATGGCTAACATTCTGTTATTTCCTCTACTTTTGTGTATGTTGATATATCCCATAATAAACAATTCAAGTCTGTTAATTAAAAACTGAGTTCTTCCTGCTGTGACAACAACTGTTTGATGAGAGCTTAGGGTCTTTTTGCCTGGAGTTTTTATTCTCCACAAGTTGTTCCCTTTTGTTACTGAGATGTTTACATCCACGGTCAAACTAAATGTGTGCCTGGAAAACATTTTTTGTGAAAACGTTTTGAAAAAAGTTATATGGTTGATGTGGAACATAGTTTCAGATGCTGCTATTTCCTTCCTCTCCTTTATTGTACAAAAGCAACCCTTTTTGTGTATTTTTTTAAAATTCCTGCAGATAAGGGAGCTCTGGTTGGCTAGTGGCAAGAAGCTGCACTGCAATCCCAGAGGAGCGCAGTTCGAATCCACCAGATGCTCTGCTGGAAAAGGAGGGACAATTTCCTCCTGTACCAGTCAGATCCAATTTGACGGTACACACACACATACACACAAATAAAAAAATAAAATCCTTGCAGATAGATAAGAATGTAAAGTAATTAGAGATTTATTGGAATTTAGAGGAGGCTTGATACCACGCCTTCTGGGCTCAGATTTCTTGGGTTTTTATTATTATAATTAATTTTAATAAAAATTTACAGACTTTGGATTTGCATTTGTTCATTGTTGCACTGGGCTCGGTTTTCATTCGTGATTTGTGAGGAAAACTCTTCTGTTCAAATGTTCTCCGGTTTCAAGTTACAAGTTTCAAGTTTCTAATTTGACCATTAGAGATAGGTGGGAATTTAGGGTTTTATGTTTTGGGGATACTTTTGGAAATGGGGTGTTAAAACTGATTCCACTGAGTGCTTCCGAGTCACCAATCAATTCACTCCCTTGCTGCTGTTTGACATTCTCACAGTGACCATCTTTCCACCGTAGAAAAGGACACAAACGGAGAAGTTCTGTGGGTGTGGTGTTACCCTTCCACGACAGCCGCCTTGAGGAGCCTGCTGCTGAGAAAATGCTGCCTTTCAGACGAAAACCAACTTCTGCATCCCTTTGTCTTTGGCCAGTACCAAAGAACATGGTTTTATATCACCACCGTTGAAGTTTCAGATTCTTCAGTTTTGAAAAAGGTATGACTGCAGAAAGGCAGGAAATTTTTTTAAAAAAACAAAGATATTTGAAGTGATATAGAATGAATGCAGTAACACCTAGCTTCAGACCTGGCTTATCATTCACAATACACTTTTGAGAAACAATAGATACCATTTTTATTGGGAATGTTCTCTTACACAGTTCCCTTTTCATTCATTCTTTAGGTGTTTGTTTGTTGGTGTCTCCTATCTAAAGGAGCCCTGGTGATGTAGTAGGTTAAGTGTTGGGCTGCTAATGGAAAGGTTGGCAGTTTGAAGCCACCAGCTGCTCCTTGGGAGAGGAATGAGGCAGTCTCCATGTTAATATTTACAGTCTCAGAAACCTATTGAGCGTTGCTGTGAGTCCTGACTGACTTGATGATGGTGGTTGTTGTTAAATGCCGTCGAGTTGTGGGCGACTCATAACGACTCTATGAATGTTCCTCATTTCTCCAAGTTCATAGGATTTCCAGAGGCAAGCTATATTGGAAGTGGATGCCACTCCTGGCTTCCAAGCTTGTTTTAATCGGGGAGCTCCACCCAGCACTGTCCACCAAGGGTGACCAGTATCGCTGGGCCTTGTGAAGATAGATCAGTGAGCAATACAGCAGTGCGTGTCCCTACCCTTATCAGGTTACACACCCATTTCACTCACTGATTGCACCCTAACTGCGTAGAAATCTACCTTATTATCTACCTCATGATCTATTACTTCAAAAAATTATGACTACTACTTTAAAAACTACCTTAAAGTTTATATTTATCCTTGGCATACTCAAGACATTTTTTATTCCATTTATTTGAAGACAGTAAGGATATATTGAGTCTGGAAAGGCTAATTAAGGAAATATAGACTCTTTTTGGTGGTGATATGAATAACATCAATGTGGCATGTTGAAAACCGTTAAGTGGTCTCTGTGGACATTCTCAGATCAAATAGCCAGTGGATTTTTCTCAAAGAAGTACCTGAACCTCTGGCATGGGGTTGGTGAGGAGTTCTTTGCCCCCTTTAGGGCTAGTTAACCAGTATTGGATTATGTCCGAGACACGAGTTTAAATTTAAGAAATTGCATTTAAAAGAACAGAAAGGCAACTAGTTGAGAAACTATAATGGCTTTAGGACAAAACAGAGACTCAAGATTAAAGTGTAGCTTTGCAAAAAGGTACTTTTCTATATGTTATACAATCTTTGGTTTATGTTCATTTTCATCTCTTTTTAAAAATATTTTTATTATAATTTGAAAGTTTACAAAAATCTATTGGTTTTTCATTCAAGCATTCATGCACATTTTTTTTGGTGTGTGTGTGCCATCAAATCAGATCTGATGGTGCAGGAGGAAATTGCCCCTCCTTCTCCAGCAGAGCATCTGGTGGATTTGAACTGCATTCCTCTGGTATTGCAGTTCAGCTTCTTGCCACTAGGCCACCAGAGCTCCCTGCACATTTTAAGTATTAATCACAGTATTTAATGGTTTGTGTTAAGTCTTGATGTATCCTTAATAGACTCACGCAGTGTGTTACAACACAGACTGTCAAGTTGGGGTAAAACTGATTTCAGGATTTACAGAGCTTCTTGTATTCCCAAATATGGATTTTTTTTTAAAAATAAATTTTTGTTAAAAAAAATTTGTTAATGTTTTACTTTTCACAAAGTTTGAAATTTTGTCTTATATGTAGGCTTATTGGGCATATAATTATCAGAAATGTATATTTATCATAATGTTGTTGTTGTTGATTGCCTTCGAGTCGAGCATGACTCATACAACCCTATGAACAAAAGGCCTGAAGGCCCTCTACAACTATTGACATTTATCAAAGTTCATAGAGTTTCCGGAGGCATGTTGAATGCCACTCCTGCTTCCAATTTATCATAATAGAAGCATGTAATTACATGAAGTTTATTCTAACCATGCCCTTTAAGTTGTAATGCTTCACAGAAAGTAGACTGTTTCACGCCAGTGTGATTTTTATTGAGATGCATTTTTGTCCTTTTCTGTTCTATCTAATTAATGAAAAACACTTGTTAAATGGATTCATCTGAGTTAGCCATCCTGATTCTTTCTGCTTTCATGAGGCTAGGGATCATCAAATGAAAGCACATGCTAATAATATTAAAGTAGTATTAGGAGTTTTGTTTTGACAAAGAGATGTTTGGGGGAAAATGTCTAACTCTTTTTAAGTATTGCACTTATTAGGGATTCAGTTATGTTTGTACACACATGTATATATACATATAAATAAAAAACAAAGAAAAATTTTGTTAAATTTTGGTCTTTTGCTAAATGCTGTCATGTGTTATACAAGAAGTTTATTAGAATATAGTAATTAAAAAATAATTCTATTGAAGTGTCTTTAAAAAGTGTACTTTTTTTGTTTCTTTTGGACAGGTGACTCATTTTTCTATTGTTCTGACCGCCAAAGATTTTAACCCAGAGAAATATGCCGCCTTCACTAGGATATTGTGTAGGTCTGTATGCAAACCATCTTAAATGCTAATATACAAAATGAAGAGCGCACTGCATATTACACCGTAGATTTCTCAACTGTGGAAGCACATTTTGGTCGTTGGTCTCCCTGGTGTAATCTTCGTGGCTGTTCAAAGACTGTTCTGTAAAGAGGGCCCTCTCGTTTGCTCTGATGATTCTGCTTTTTTTATTTGGGAAAAGGACAACGGGAAGGAAAAAGCAGTTTGTGTAGATAGCTCTTGGGGAGTTTGAGTCATACTTGTCATCCATCACAGCTAGCCAGTACCCAGTCTAGAATTTTCCGTGACAGTGTGCTTTGTAAAAATCTAACTGGTTCATCTGTGTCAAGCCCACGGAGGGGATGATTTTAGAGGTAATTAAGGAGCATTGTGAATGAAGCTTAAGCGCGGGGAGGCATCATATTGCTGTGGGGAGTGGCCAATTTGGGTACTTGGTTAATTGTGATTCATGCAGACTCATCATTTCATTCCAGCTGATGAAAAAAAAATTCTTTTAAATGCTCTAGTCCACTTTTTTGTCGCAGTGAATATATCTACTGGACTTAATGAAATCTTTTTATTTTGTCCATTGTGGACATTGACTCTTGCTTTGATTATAAAGATAGTTTTTGTGTTTTTAATTACTGCAAACACTTTTGTGGAATTTTCATTTTAGAAACTAATTCTGTCCCTAGATAGAGTTGTGATTCTGGGTGTTGTGGTCTACTCTCAGTAAGTTTTTCTTTCGCCCACCCCCCCCCCCCCCCCAGGGTGTGTGGTTTTTTTTTCGTTAAGTCCTGTGCCTGGTTGCACACTCACACACGGTCACATACACAACAGTCCAGTGTCAGAGTGCCTTCTCCTTAAAGGTTTCAATTAGACTGTACTCTGAAGAGAGGTTTTACTGTTTGCAGTCAGGTGTGATAAGAAAGACATATCATGTGCTAGAGTCCAGCTGTCTGCCTCAGTGTCTCTGCTACAATGGACAGATCCCTGTTGCATGAAGAGAAGCCATCTGGAGGCTATGAAAGACAAAAGCATTGCAGAGGTGCTTTTGAATAAACTTTGGTCTCCTGTTCCATATGAGCGAGTCAGGGTTGGGTTACTCGTGTGAATTCTTTGAATAATGTTTGAGGTGCAGAAGGCAGTGGCACCTAATTCAAAGGCATTATTTTTTTTTTGTTGTTTCCCTCATTCATTGTCCACCTTTCATGTACCTATGAGGTGACTGAAAACATCATGACTTGGGTCACATACCTTAGTCCTCTAAGTGACAGCTTTGCTTTTTTAATACATTACAGAGTTCTTAGGCTATAACTTGCCCAGCAAATAAGCAGTAAGCCATTTGATTTCTTGATTTCTTCCATGAGCACAGGTTGTAGATCAAAGTAAAGTGAAATCTTTGACAAATTCAATTTTTTCTCTATTTACCATGATGTTGCTTATTGGTCTAGTTGTGAGGATTTTTTTTTCCTTTATGTTGCAATGTAATCCACACTGACAGGTGGAATCTTTGGTCTTCTTTCGTAACTGAAGATCCTCTTCATTTTCTGCAAGCAAAGTTATATTATCTGCCTCTCACAGAGTGTCAGTGAGTCTTCCTCTAACCCTGATGTTGAGTTACTCATATAGTGCAGCTCTCACATTGTCTCCTTAACACGGAGGTTGAATACCTATGGTGAAAGAAGATAACCCTGAAACACACCTTTCCTAATTTTTTTAATTCATTGTTGTACATTTTCTTCCTTCCTTCTTCTTCCCCTTCTCCAGCCCATCCCACATTGCATGCCTTGTTCAGATTGTTCTCATACGTGTAATGCATGATCATACATTCCTTTCGGACAGTTCTTCCCCTCCTCTGTTTTATTATAGTGTTCATTATCTAGCCTCTCTTTTCCCATTCTCTCCCCAACCCCCTCATATCTGTCCTATCTTACAACAGCGGTGTTACGCAGCATTTGTTTTTTTTGTGTGTCTGAGATACTTCACTCAGCATAATGTCCTCCAGGCTCCCCCATGTTGTGTAATGTTTTATGAGTTCATTGTCTTTTCGGTGCTTCATAGTAATCCATTGTGTGAATATAGCATAGTTTTTCTGTCTGTTTTGGGTTTTGTTTGTTATTGTTGTTTTTTAATTTTACACTGGTTTACCTACAAAGTTTGTGTACATTACTCCTCACACCAGATTTCTGCTACCTCCCTAACCACCCCCATCCATCAAACCATGCAGCCCCATGATCAAAGCCCCTGCAGATCTCATACACGTGTCCATTTGTTTGTTAATGGATGCTTGGGTTGCTTCCATCTCTTTGCTGTTGTGAATAACGCAGCAATCAACATGGGGGTGTATATACATCTGTTGGAGTCTTGGCTCTGGTTTCTTTAGGGTAAATTCTCAGTAGTGGAATTGCTGGATTAAATGTTATTTCCAGCTTTTTGAGAAAGTGCCACACCGCCTTCTGTTGTGGTTGTACCATTTTACATTCCCACTTTCCTGATTTTAAACCAAGAGAATCCCTTGTTCTATTGTGCACTAATGCCTCTTGGTCTATATACATGTTTCTTCACCTTTGAGTTATGGTGGTGGTGCAGACTATATGATACACCATGAACTTCCAGAAGAATGTATAAATCTGCTCTGGAAGAGGTTCTGCTAGATCATCTCTTGGTCGTTAGGTGGTGAGACTTCATCTCATGTACTTTGGATGTATCGTCAGGGGGAACCAGTGTCTGGAGAATGACATGATGTTTGACGAGACACTGTCAGAACGACTGCATCAGTGGCTTGAATGTAGTAGCAACTGAGGCCAGACAGTCAGGACCTGGGCCGGGGCTCATTCTGTTGTACGGGGTCGCTGTGTACGGAAGCAGCTCCCTGGCTCCTCAGAACAACCTGAGACAGAAGGCTGCTTCAGGTCCCGTGCTCCCCAGCTTCAGCAGTGCAGGGGCTCTGTGGGTTCACTATTCTCCTCATAGTTTCCTGGTAACTCCCGCATTCTGGAAAGAGCCTTGTTTGCACAGTGGATTACTCATTAGGCTGCTAAGGGAAAGGTCAGTGTTTAAAATCCATTAAGAGTCTGTGGAGAGGGGAGACCGTCTGCTTCCACGAGGATGTGTACGCAGTCTGGTCTGTTGGCATATTCTCGATGGCAGTGTTTACGGTGTTGGGTGTGTAGCATTCTGGAGTCCCCTCTGCCCTGGCACTGTGACATTCTGGATTCTGCTCTCGGTGGTATGACGTTAAAGGATTCTGGACTCTGCTCTCTGTGCAGCACTGCAGCCTCCTGGAGTCTCCTCTTGCAGTGTAGACGTCGGGATCTGTTCTCAGTGTTGGGACACTGTAGCGTGGCTGGACTTCCCTCCCTGTCCTGACATTGTACCGTTCCAGATTCTTCTCTTCCTCCTCCCCCTGCTGTCCCCTTGTTCCGGTCCTTGTTTGTGCACACACACCCACACTGGCTGTGACTGCCCACGTGTGTAGTCATGACAGGTGTGTTCGCATCTCAGCAGAGGAAGTGTGGAGGTGCGCCCTCCTGCTGCGCCTGCGCAGAGCAAGTGGGCAGCTGCCTTCCACGCGTCCTGCTCGCTGGGGCAGCGGAGGGGAGGATGAGAAGCTGTTCCTTGTGTGGAGCCACTGTCAGCACGTCAGACCCCTGCCATGTCCTCGTCCCTGCAGATGGTGGCTTTGTGGGGAAGGAAGTTGCACTTGAAATCTGCTGCCCAGGCTACGGATGGTGGCTCTCTTACTGCGTATTATACTCTTGGATTGTTTTAATGCACTTTTCTTTTTTGGTGGTGGTGGTGGTAATGTAAGTGTTGCTCGATGCCCTTGAGTTGATGCCAACTCCTAGCAGTGCTTAGATGCGACAGGGCAAAGCCTCGCCGGGTGTTGCGCCAGACTTTCGGTCATTGCTGCATTTGAGCCCATTGTTGCAAAGACTGTATCAGGTCATCTCATTAAGGAGCTTTCTCCTTGTTGATAGCCTTGTACTTGATAATTTGAATGGCACTGAAGCCCAAAATGTGTAACAGCAGTATACAGATTCCCACTTATTGTGACCCTTTTTACAAGAGGTGATGTCCGAGGATGCAGACCACTGAATTTTAGATTAGCAGGGCATCATGTAATGCACTGTGCCACCAAGGCTCCCCATGGAGTACATACATAGGTGGTTAAAGAACAGATGCTGCAGAAGGGTGGAGAGTGAAGACTAAGTCCCCTCCAGCCCTGTTTCCCACTCCCAGTTCTACCTCTAGCCCTCTGCCCCACGACCACCCTCTGATAGGTTTCATTATCTCCTGTCAGAGTTGCTCTTTGAATGTGTATGATTTTGTGGGTTTGAATGAATTGTGCATCTGAATATGAGACTGGTGGCCTAAGAGTGAGAAATTGCACTGCCAACCCCAAAGCACAGGGTTCAAATCTGCTAGCTGCTCCATGAGAGAGAGGTGGGCACTCTCCTTTTGTGCTGTTTACTGACTCTGAAAACCCTCTAGAAGGTCAGTTATGGGTCGGCCCTGATTCCATGGTACCCAACAACATCGATCTGTGAGACCTTCTCATCTTTCATTACGGAGACCTGGTGGCATAGTGGTGTGGAACTTGACTGCTGAGCCCAGCAGTCACACCCGCCACCCCCCATAGAGCACTGTGGTGGTCTGCTTCCACAGAGGTTTGCAGCCCTGGAGACCTGGCGGACAGTTCTGCTGACCTGTGGTGTTGCTGTGAGACCGAATCAGCTCCACAACAAATGGGTTTGGACGCTTTAGGACCGTATTCCTTGTTCTCTGTGATTGAAATAATAAAAACGTACTTATAATTGACAAAATTTAGTAGTAGCAAATTTACTTTTTACTTAATCCACACTCAGTATCATTTTCAACAATGCTGGCAGTCTCAAACGTTAGTTTTATTTCCTTCCCATTTTTCTGTCCCATTGGCCTCTGAGTAGACCCAGTCACATTTCTCAAGCAAAATGTCGTTCTAGTCACAGAAAAGTACTCGAGGGGAAGAGATGTCTCAACTTGTGAAGCTATCAGTGCAGCCAATTTCCTGTCAGCATTTTCGGGACATTATAACTGGGTAGTGAATACCTCTCGTGCATTTATCACCAGAAACTTCAAGGCGTTTGATTTCTTAATTATCTAAATATAGCCGCCTCTGGGAACTCTGATAAGTATAGGTTCTCTAGCTAATTACTGCTTTCTCTGTGAACAATGCGTATGACTCCTTCCCTGTCAAAAGAAATCCCAGCAGTAAAACAGAGTTATGACTAAGAACACCAGTGGTGAATGTCGAACGTAAGAAAAGGCAAGGGAGGAATGCCAGGTTCTCAGAAACAGTGGCGCCTCAGAAAGGCCAGAGTCCACTCTCCTCAGCAGACTCTGGCGGCCACCCCAGCTGTGAGGAGAGAGCTGACTTGTTTTGTTTTGTCTTTTTTTAAAAAAAAAAATTATTTCATTATTTTTTGTGTGTACCGTCAAATCAGATCTGACTGGTACAGGAGGACAACTTCCTCCTTCTCCAGCAGAGCATCTGGTGGATTCGAACCGTGCATCTCTGAGATTGCAGTTGCAGCTTCTTGCCACTAGGCCACCAGAGCTCGCCTGTTTTGTCTTTTAATGCATTTTCACATTAAGTTGTAGAGGTCATACTTGTCAGGAAAACACTCAGACATTCAGAAGTATGTGGCAGGCCCGCCATAAGCTCTTTAGAAGGTTCCTGCATCTGGCCGTGGGTTGTTTGTCCTGTAGTTCGTGCCAAATAAAAGCCCGCTGGTTTTTGTCCTTTCTTGCAGAATGTACTTGAAACATGGGAGCCCGGTTAAAATGATGGAAAGCTACATAGGGGTTCTCACCAAGGGCACGTGCCAGAGCGAGGAGAATGGCTCCTTCTCCAGCAAGGACTTTGATGCCCGGAAGGCGTACCTTGCAGGCTCCATTAAAGGTAAAAGAAAGCAAAAAACAACTTTAAAAATATAATCCCTGTCAGTGAATTGAACAAGTAGGAATTGTTGAATTGGTGTCAGCTTCAATTGTGTGTGTTTTCACCATTATAGAAGAAAAGGGAAAAAAACAAAACTTCTCCCAACAACAAAACCCTCAACCCAAGGACAGTCTCATTTGATGTCCCTTGAGCTCTCTGTGCATGATGGCCACCAACTTCTCCTTTCCTGATCACTTTAGAATTCTGTCATAGGAAAGCTGGTTTCCCTGGGGTTCTTGCACGTTTTTATTCTGATGTAGAAATGTTTTCCAGCTGAATTCATGGCTCCAGATCTCTGTGTTCTCATTTCCTAAGAGCAACAGTTAACTCTAAGATCTGAAGCCCCCAACCCAGAGTTCCCAATCCCATTCCCAGCCCTTTTTTGTTAGCTGAAAAATCCAAAAAGGCAGAGGCCATAGGAAGGAGAAAGGAATTTTGAGGGTTACGTGGCTCCCATCGTCCCACAGTCCCTGTCTGGCTTCGCTCTGGGTCTCACTGTCCTGAACGGTGGAAGTGTGAGGTGTCTGTCAAGCTCAGTGACAAGGATTTACATGAAGACCATGTCTGTGTGTGGAGTGGGAAGGGATAGTGAGCTTGTTTTTAATGCCACACAGTTTTCAGGACACAGGGAGCTATAGGGACCGTTTCACATCATTTATTCCATCTGGCACGGGCCACACATCCAACATGGAGCTCATAGGAGGCGTTGTAGGCAGCAGTGGGCCCAGAATGTAGGCATTCTGGGGAGCAGATGTGGAGGTGGGCATACTCGCCTATCAACTAAAGTGCTCTGTGGTTCCATTTGCCTACTTTATTCTCTTGTGTTGAAAATAGTTCTACATTCTTACAAGAATTCTTTTTTTTTAAGACATTGTATCTCAATTTGGAATGGAAACTGTTATCTTATACACTGCACTGATGCTAAAGAAAAGAATTGTCGTCTACCACCCTCGGATAGAAGCTGTCCAGGAGTTTACTCGGTAAGGACTGTAATATTCAGTGTGTAGACTTGACTGGCAGCCAGTTTGGGGCACTAAGTGGCATCTTGTGCTCTGTTCTGTTGCACATCTGGTATAAATAGAGTGTTAGACTGGAAGTGAAAATCTATTTTGATATACTGTTTTAGTTGTATTTGTTGGTTCAAGGTCACAGAATTTGGACAGACTGAGTGAAATTTGGAAATAGGAACTTTTTAAGACAGAGTTGACTACAAAGGGGCAAAGAGCAAGTGTTTTAAGTTTGCGGACATATGAGCTCCGACTGCCCCGACTCATTTTCCAGGGTCTTGGAAAGGTAGTTATTGGGCACTGTGTTACCAAGTGAGTGTGTGTGACTGTGTGCCAGTAAAACTTTATTTATAAACAGGAAAGCAGGCAGCTGGCTGTGGACCATAGTTTGCCACCTCCTGTTTTAGAATATATGTTCTTTCTGTGCAATTTTACCAAACTTCTTATTTTTATGATCTAAATTGCTGGTTGTTTTTATATGTTCACCGAATCTAACTACTTTTCAGTAGTTCCTTTTTTAAAAAGCCAGTGCACCAGTATTTGTGCTGTGTGCCTTATGTGCTGGACATTGTGTAAGACTCCGCAGACTGTTCCCCTGCCCATGACAGGAGCCTTGCGAAGACACACACAGCTCTCATTCTGGATGGGGAGTGCAGAGGGCCACACGGGAGGAGAAGAAAAAAGCAAAAGACTGTCGCCCCAAACCCTGAAGGAAATTCCTGAGAGCGGCCTTTTTTATTTTTTTAAATTTATTGTTTTTTGTGTGTATCATCAAATCAGATCTGACAGGAGGAGATGGCCCCTCCTTCTCCAGCAGAGCACCTGGTAGATTTGAACTGGAGAGCGACTTTCAATTCTGTGTCCACATAAAAGATATTTATGTTTTCGGGGCCTTAGTTTCTCTGTTTGTAAAATAAGATTATTATTTCCCTCATAAGGTTGCTTTTAGGGTTAGAAATAGTCTGTCTTGTGCTCTGACTTAGCATATTCTTTGCCCCCGTGTTGTGTTTTAGAAATGATGATTAAAAAAAAAAATCAAGAAATGATGATTCAGCGAGCTCTGGTGGCCTAGTGGTAGGAAACTGCCCTGCAATCCCAGAGGTGTGCGGTTCAAATCCACCAGATGCTCTGCTGAAGGAGGAACAATCGCCTCCTGTACCAGTCAGATCCAATTTGACGGTACACACACACACACACACACACACAAAAAAAGAATAAATAAATAAATAAAAATTATCTTTAAAAAAAAATGATGATTCATTCCCTTAGTCAGTATGGTCTCACATCTTTTTTTTTTTTTTGCACTGAGTACAAAAGCAAATTATGCTTAATTTATATTTTTTAAATAGCATTCAGTTTATTACAAATATTTAGTATTGGCTTCCCATATTTCCCCCCTTTTGTTTTTATTATAATTATGTTATCATCTAGATGAGCATCTGATTGTCTCCCATCTTAAGACTTTTCATCCAGCTCTGTCTGGTCCTAAAACCTCACATCCCCTTGGCCCCTGCCTTTTTATATAGTTATACTTTTTTTAAAAAAAATTATTATTTTGTGTGTGTGTACCGTCAAATCAGATCTGACTGGTATAGGAGGAGATTGTCCCTCCTTTTCCAGCAGAGCATCTATCTGGTGGATTCAAACCGTGTATCTCTGGGATTGCAAATATATTCGTACTTCTTAACCAGGGTGTCCCCAGCTTCTGAGCCAGACACCAGGCACAGATAAAGCCACAGATGAATGGGTACATCTTTCCACAGTTGCTGCTTTACCAGAGGTCTTCTATAAGGAAGCCTATTTTGTATAAAAAACAAGGTGGTTTGCAAGTTTGAAAATTTTAACTATAAAATGGGAAACGTCAAGAGTTTTTTGCTTGCAGAAGCCACTTTGGGGTTTCCCACCAGACACCCCCTCTGTTGTAGTCCAGACTGGGGTGCTGGAAGAAAACAACAGCAGGACCCCTCACCACCCTGGAGGTCTGTGCAGATGTCACTGTGAACTTTTCACACTAAGCGTCCCCACCGGTGGTGTTTAGACCATCGCACTGGAAGCTTGGGCTTTTTGGCACTCGGGGGTGGTTCTCGCCTCTGATAGCTGTGTTTCTGTATCCTCTTCATTTCCTCTCCTGGGAGGAGCGGAGAGATGGGCAGGTGGGGTCCTGTAGGGTCAGTCCAGTGCCCATTTGTGTTCTTATCTTGACATCTCAGGACGCTGCCCGCCCTGGTGTGGCATCGGCAGGACTGGAGCCTAGTCCACTCTTACGTGCACCTCAGCAGTGATGAGCTGGAAGCCCTGCAGATGTGTTCAGGTAAGCCCAGGCGGAAGCAGTCCGAGTCAGGGAGGCTCTGTGTGGGCCTTTCTAGCTGAGAAAGCATTATTGGTGCCTTCAGCAAATTGACAGTCCTGAGGAATTGTAAAGGAAGCTCTGGCGGTGTAGAGGGGTATTGAATAAACCATGGCCTGCTAGGAGAAAAACAGGCTTGTCCTGGAGAGGCTGAAACCAGGAGGCAAGGATTCTGAAGCTCTGTTTGACATACTTTGGGCATGGTGCAAGGAGGAAGGACGTCCTGCATAGGAGAATGGAGGGACAGCACAAGAGAGAAAGATTCTGGGTGAGATGAATACACTCAGTGACGGGGGTAATGGGGGTAGCTGTGTCAACGACAGTAAGGTTGTTTCAGGATAGAGCAAGATTCAGAGCTGTCATATACAGGGTTGCTGTGAGTTGGGACTCGACGACACATAACAGCAACAATAAGAAAAAAAAGAATGGAGTGTAAAAATAAGTAAAAGATTCATTCATTTTGCAGAAGAGGAAACATGAATGACAAGAAACTTACAGAAATCTGCTTCACCTCATTTTCGTTGTGTACCGTCAAGTCGGAACCAACTCATAGCTGACCTTCCAGCGGGTTTTCAGAGGCAGTAAATTGCACAGGAGGAGACTGCCCGTTCTCCAGTGGAGCAGCTGATGGATTAGAACTGAGTGCCTTTGGGATTGTAGCACAATTTCTTACCACTAGACCACCAGAGCTCCCTTTATTCTCTTTAGGGATCAGGAAAATGGAAATTAGACCATACTCTTAATAGTTTTCCATGGTCAAAACATAAAGCCTGCCTGACAAGGAAAAGATTTTAAGTCCACCGTTTCCCCTTCCGGCCCTTCCTGGCTGCTGTCTGGTTGCCCGTGGCCACTGTTTGCCCTGTGAGACCTCACCAGCGGTGCTCCTCCCTATCTGCTGTGTGACTGGCCATGAGACCCTATCCAGCACCACACAGCATCTGTGCTCTATCCTTCTCCACATACGAGGCAGCGCCCCAGGTAGAACGCCCCCCACGGCTTTTTGACTGGTTCACAGTCTGATCTCACGTCATCTTGCTGGTCTTTGGACTACAGGTTACATCGCGGGTTTTGTCGACTTGGCGGTGAGCGACAGGCCCGACCTCTACGACGTGTTTGTGAGCCTGGCAGACAGCGAGATCACCATCGCGCCACACGCCAAAGGTTGGTCTGTCTTTCTTTCTGTTGCAGCGTTTCCTCAGAGCTAAACCAAAAGGTTGGGCTTTCTTAACTGAGTTTCAGAAACCAGTATTTGAGGGCCAGCTTCACCTGCTCTCCCAAAGCTGGAGGAGTTTTTCCAGGTGTCCAGCACATGGCATTTCTTCATAGAGACCAAGTTAGCAGAATGTCCTGGGTATTAAGTAACACCTGTGTCAACAAGGTAAACAGTCTAATTTCTTGCTTTCTCTATTAAAAAGTTAGTGTTACTATACTAAAAAAAAAAAAGTTAGTGTTACTGCATAAGCTGGAGCTCTGGTGGCCTCGTAATAAGAAGCAGCACTGCTGTCCCTAAGGCACACGGTTCTAATCCCTTAGGTGCTCCACATGAGAAGGATGGGCAATTTACTGCCTCTGGAGGGTCAGCTGTGAGTCACTTCCAACTCGACAGCCTGCAACAACTGCGTAATTACCTCATAATGCAGTAGTACTCTAACACAGGGAAGATCTCTTGTCAGGAGTTTGGAAGTGGCTTAGCTGGGGGGTCTGGCTTAGTGTCTCACTGAAAGTTTTGATGACGATTCTGGCTGTGGCTGCAGGTATCTGTGGCAGCACTGCTGTTGGTGCCAGTGAGTCAGCTGGGACTCACAGTGATGCTGTGACCAGCAGATCTGAACCCTGCCCCGTCCTGTGGGGCGAGGACCAGCAAATCCTCTTCCGTGCTTGCTGTGGTGATTGGCCGGAGGCCTCAGTCCCTCACCTTGGGGGGCTGCTCCACAGGGCCGCTTGAGTGTCTTCATGACCTGGCACTCGTGTCCCCGAGAGAGTCGAGGAGGTGTGGGAAGGAGGGCCTTCTGCGACTTAGTTCCAGAAGTCACACACCATTGCTTCTGTCGTATTGTTTGCTTAAAGCAGGTTCCAAGTCTACTCCGAACCTCAGTGGAGAGGAATGGGGCTTCCCCTCCTGACAGAGGCATTACCACAACGTGGGATTAAGCCTGACCCCTATGTGGAAAATCTTCCCAAAAGACGGCTCGATAAGCCCAAGGGGATGGGTGACCACACTCTTCAAGCTAATAACCGAGAAAAGGCCTTCTAGTGGGTCAGTCATCTCTGCAAGACTTCATTTAAATCATCCTAAATTATAGCTACATAAATTGGGGAAGATTAGGTAGACGGGCTCGGGACACTCCTCAGGAGTTCGTTCTAGGTAAGAATTATTAATAGCAGCCTTTGTGATGGCATTTGTCTCTCTCCTGAGTGTGGAGGGAGGGTGCCTAGTTGCTCTGTTGTTAACACATTCTGATTGGTGGTTCGAACCCTCAGGTGCTCTGCAGGAGAAAGATGTGACCACCTGCTTCTGTAGATTTGTAGCCTTGGAAACCGTAAGGGGCAGTTCTGCTCTGTCCTCGGGGGTCACTGGGAATCTGCATCGATGACTATGGTGGGCATTTGTAGGGGTGGTCAAATCAAATGCTGCCTAACTAATGAACGTTGGTAGATGGAGTCTGACTAATGAAGTTCTCTCCGAAACTTCAGGTTAAGAGAACCAGAGCTCCCTGCTTTCATTAGTTTTAAAATGACACACATGGGGCATGTCCATGGTGACAAGTTCAGAGTGCACAGTTGGACCTTCAGGAGTCAGTGCAGTTTATCAACCTGAAGTGACAGGAAACCAGCGTCAGCCAGGGCCACTCACCACTCCAGGGCGGCTCTGGCGCCTACCCAAGGGCCGCTGCAGCTCTGAGCTGGTGCCACACTGCAGTCAGCACTTCCGGTGGCGGTGGCTCCTCGGAGACAGACAGGAACCTGTGTTCTCCCCAGAGCTGCAGGAGGCACCCGTCTGTCTCTGTGACTGCAGGTTTTCCCTAATAGTAGCCGCCACAGGGCTGACAGGAAGAGCTGCTTTCACATCCTCGTCAGACAGATGAGTCTAAGTTCTCAACTGTCCAGACCTGGACAGGAAGGCCAGCTCTTGGCCTCACATGATAACTCATTCATCCTCAGACATTTTCTTCAGGTTTTGTCTAAAAGACAAATCAAGATTCTCCTCAGATTGGTGTGAGGGGAGCTGGGTGTGGTTCCGGTCTCTTTTCTTTTGAATTGATGGTGCCTTCCCTCCTAGTGTCATCAGCACTCGCCTCTAGGGGTAAAATGGAAAGATTGGGGCTGTTGCTTTTTAAAAATCCTCCCACTGTGTTCTTGCTAGTTTCAGATGGTGTGGTCCCTTTGTGTTACGAAAACTTCTAAATAGTCACATAAACATTCTTGATCTTTCCAGAGGCCATGGTGATGGGGAAACTGCACAAAGAAATCGGTCACCTGATTGTCCAGTCTGCAGAAGACCCGGAGAAGTCAGACAGCCAAGTCATCAAGGTAATGGTAGCCTTCCAACCTCCTCAGAGCCCAGAAGTGGCCAGTATCAACAGAGGTGCCTGTGACCTGCTCTCCACGAAATAACATGGGGTGACATGGGAGGGCCCAGCGAGCAGAGGCTCAGAGGAGTGCATGCGAGGTGTCCTGGGGCCAGTGCCAAGCCAGCCATCTGTAGTGAGAAGTGTCACACCGCTGAGCGGGGGTGTCGGGGATGCTCTCGAAGCTGGCCAGAGCATGGCCTCCTAGGAGGGAGGGGCCCAGTTGCAAAGAAGAGGTTGCTGCTCAGCATGAGAACTAGATGAACCCCCGAAAAAACAAACAGAACCCCTCACTGCTGCCAAGTCATCTGACCCTCCATTGGGTTTCCCAGCAAGCTAGCAGAATACGAGGGGAGACACGCCCCCCCCCGAAGGTGGACAAGGAAGCAGAGTTAGTGGGACTCCAGCCCTAGTGTTCTTCTGCCACTGGTATCTCCCTCCCTGTTTACCAGCCCCAGAAGCTGTGGATTGAGGGGAGATAAAAGTGTGAGCTATCAGTGGGCTCTCTGGGCAGATGGACGTGGGGCTGGCACTTTGGGGGAGGGGGTGGTTGGGTGTGAGCTCAAGATAAAGGTTAGGGAGGTTCTGCCTCTGTTACAGTTGAAAGTACCGAGCCGTTGAGAAGGGGACAGTGCGCCCACAGATCTGTGGGTGAGGACTAACGTTCAGAAGTCCCAGAGTGCACCTTCCCCTTCCTGGTATTCTGGCCAAATCCTTGTCACACTAATGCGAACTGTGGTGACTGGAGCCTTCTGTTTAGACACGTGTGAGGACCATGCGGGTCCCCACTGTGTCCTGGATGCATGGGGAAGTCAGGAGGGCACTACCAGGGCTCGGCCTTGGTGTCCTGTGGGGGATAGACGAGGCCCATTGGAGTGTCATCTTAGATTTCTTGATATTAACTCTGTGCATATGTTCCTGATCTATTATAGGACATTTCCCTAAAAACCAGAGAGCTCCTGGCCAACCTAGCGTCGTTTGCAGATGCCTCAGATGATGGAGGGAAGCCAGTGCTCAGCTTGGAAGCCCTGAAGCAGAAGCGTTTCCCTCCAGCCACGGAGAACTTCCTTCACCACCTCG